GTTAAAACAGAGTAATAGTTTACCAAAGTGTAATTGTGTAAATACAGTTAATTAATCTTTCTTGTGTAACAAAACTGAATATAAACCATTCAACCATAGTTTGCCTTCTTTTACTCATATTCAAAGCCTGGTGAAGACTGCTACCCTGAACCAAACCAGAGATCTCCATTACTAACTCTTTGATTCCTTATGTTACAGACAGCATTCATGACCTTGAAGGTTATTGTAGATTATGAGCCATCACTTGAAGCCTATTATGTAATCAAGGAGACTTGCCTTCACATCACAGAACAGACATATTGAGAGTTATATTTTATAGGTATACTGGCAAAACCATATTGTTTAATCATAATTCACTTTACATTAAAAAGTGCAATCCTCAAAATGCAGTGCCAATGTAAAGCTGAAGAAAATTAATGGGCTGTGTGCCAGCTGAACACTTTAAGGATTGGAGCACCACTTCACTAGTTTCTTCCTAATACACTTCGATGAATGTAACTGACGACATGATTTCCCAGCATTAAGAAAAATGTACTCATCTTCTTCTAGGAACAAGATTGTCAACGTATGAGGTTGTATATGGCTTGCCTCAAAGAGGCATTTCCTAGCTCTCTCATCAATTGGAGATTAGTGAAAGTTTATGTCTGGAAAGGACATACAAATTATATGTTCACGTGTTAACCATGTCAAAAAAAAATGAAGTGGTGTTTTAAATATTGTGAATATCATTACAACATTTGCCACTTTTAAGTGTTCTATTAAAGGAAAATACCGGATATGCTTCCTCAATGTATAGAAGAACGGGTTCGAACATGGATATTTCCATCATGTTAATTTCCACCAAACTAATTCATACCCTAAAAACACTAGATTGGTAGACCAATGAAATCTTGATTCTAGATTCTGAGGTTTCCTTTGAAATTTATGGGGCATCGTAAGTCAACAGGTGACTTTAAGCCACACATACACTTCAAATTAACTCTTAACATTGGTTGTTGTTTACCATTATGTAAAAGTTCTTTCCATATTTTCTGCCTACAACCAGACAGGAACCTGGAATCACAATACTTGACTAGTCATACCTGGTCACAATGTGTACTTCCAGAGACAAAAGGTACACATGTGACTTTTATCTAACTTTATATATCTGCACAAGTTAGGAGTCAAAGGTTTGGGGAAAAACTTCACTGAATTCCTAAAATATTCTAACCAGGATGGCTAACTGTATGTTTGAAAAGGAATTTTCTCAAACTCTGTTTAAAAATGCACAAGACCTGTTTATTTCTCTGATCAACAGTGAAAGCAGTGAAGGGCTTTGGCCTTTATTTACAGTACTTATATTTCTTCCTTCACACTCCGAAGGGGACTCAGGGCAGATCACAGAACACATATGCGGCACACATTCAATGTTGATTATACAATGACAAGACAGACAAGAGGCAGATGTATATATAGGCTTTTGTCATCATTCAGCATTTTTGGAGGCTCTGCTCAGTTCTGGCCACAGTGGGTGCTGTCACTCCATCTCCTTGCCAAAGAACTTTTGTTTGTAAACTTTTCCTCCAAACGCTGTGCCTAAAATATCTCCCTGCTTAATGTGGTTCCTATTCCTCTACTCACATTGTTGTTTTTGATCCGCTAGGTGGGCATGGAGCTGGGCTGAAGGTCAGGAGCTCACCTTGACCTGGCTTTGAATTATCAACCTTTCGGTTGGCAAGATTTACTGCAGATGCAGCTGGTGATTAATCTGTTGTGCTAAAGCCAATGTTAATGTTTCTGGAAGACCTTCAAAGAAAAGGAAACAGGCAGTGAACAGCCCTGACTTTGCATTTCCTCACTACAGTTTGGCATCGATTGGGACAGACTTCTATCCAAAAGACTTTTTTATTTCCCCCCCCCCTTTTTTTTTTTTACTGTACTCTCCATCACCTTTAGTCCTACACACCGACTTGCACATAGAGCTAAACATAGCGCGGGGAGATGAGTGCATGTTTAAGCCCTGAACCTAAATACTGATGTGTGGCTGGCACCTGAAGATCTTTATTGCTCTCTGTAACCACTTTCCATTGATCATAGTTCCAGAATGCCCAGGAGCAAGAACCCTACTTTGTGATTCCAAATCGTATTAGCTCTGTAACTCAATTCAGCCAAACATAGTTATAAACCATGATTTTCATGCCCAATGTACAAATGACTGATTAACACCTAGGTACAAGGTGATGTTTTAGGATAAGTTTTTATGCACTCCACAAACCCACTAGCCATTTAGCCCTCCAGCTGAGTTTTCATTATGCTCTAAATCACTGTCTGCATCTGTCCTATAGTATAGTAACAGATTACGTTTCTACTAGTGCCACACAATGCATGACTGGCTAAAAAATAGGATGGCACTAGCAAATGACCTCAACTTTACTGAAGGAACACAGCAAATACACATTGGCTAGGAGCTGTATATAGGGAGATAGTTCTAATCCCTCCTGATGAAAAGCACAGGAAACTGTCATGAATATTCAGTTGTGACAGGACATGCTGCTGCTGAGGCAAAGGGATAGGATGTTCTCTCATCACTCCACATACAGAATCAAATTGGACTGGGAGTTAAATGTTACTTCAGTATCGACAATACGATAATAGTCCCAGTGCACCCAAAGGCAGCAGACTAGTTTAAGGAGTTCAAAACAAGCTTTTTGGCAACACAACTGTGTTCTCTAATTGTGGAATGGACAGAGGGGCTCATGAAGACTACAGCCTAAGGCAACTGTCTCATTCTGTAGGACCAGAACTGATCGGGCAGGGGTTGAACTGTTTAGGAGATCCCATTGCTACTACAGGGTCAAGTCTGAGCTGACTGGTAGTAATCCATTTCTCTTCTGGAAGGAGGCAAATGACAATATCAGTATAAGCCAACAACAACTCAGCTTGATGCAATCTATATCTAGACAGTAGCACTGCCTCAAGACGATGCACTTTCATGAGCACTCAGCTACTTCCCACAGAACCAAGATGAAGTACATTCCCACTCCAATCTTACCGGTGTCATTTCTATGACCACAATTGGTAGGAAAAAGGGATCCGTTTACTTTACCTCTTTATACCATAGATCCTATGATATATACAATAGGCCCTAGCTGTCTGCAACCATGCTCCTTGAGTGACATTGCACACTATAATTTTTCTAAAATCTTAATAAGGCTATAAAGTGGAGCCCATGACATGCCAGTGTGGAGAAGACCAAATCACAGACCACTTACTACAATGCAGTAAGTTGTGCATGTGCCCTGCATGCCCTGCCACATGCACAATGAAGGGCCTTCTTACAGCGACACCAGAGACACTCAAAGTGGCCAGTTTCTGGTCAAAGGAAATTTAGTATAATACCAAGTGTTCTTTTAATAAAATCCCTGTTTGTGGTTTTTAACTATGTTTGTGGTTTTTAAAACATTATAACTGTATCCTCAATTCACTTCTGGCACAATAAATACATAAATATTCTAAAATGTGATGAGGATAAACTACATATGCCATGATAGATGTGTTCTAATTAATGATTAACAATATTTTTCTTATAGAATACAAAATTTATCAACAAAAATGTGTGATTCCTGATTACTCCCACTACATAATATAAATTATTATTCCTTTTTCTCTAAATAAGGAGATTTAAAGATGCTAACATTAAAAGCATTACAATACATTTAAAATATACAAATATTAAAAATATATAAATATTAAAACAGTATTAAACATCATTAGTATTAAAGACAATTTGGATTAAATCCATAAAAACATAAATGGAGCATTTGACAATTAAACACTTCATACATTCAGAGTTCACACAAGCCACAACTGCTAAAAGAGGTGTGTGTGTGTGTGGGGGGGGGGGGGGGGGGTTAATTTCTCAGAACTGGGGTGTAGAATGGCAAACAAAAACATTACCAGTTGTGAGCAATGGCAATGTTAGTGGCTCAATTGGCAATGTTAGTGGCTCACAAAAGCATCAAAAGACAAGCCAGTAGGTAATGGACAAGATAGTAAGCAAATATGCAAGTGACAGGGTTGCTTATAATGTAGATATATGCAGCTTGGGACAGCAAATGGAATGTGCATGGTTGACCTCAGAATTATTTTTAAATATAGTTTTAATAAGTAATGAATGATTTGCTAGTAATTACATCATGAAGCTTTTTGTTATGCACTTTCAAATGCTCAATCAAGGATGGTGCTCTAAACAGAGCAGCACCAAGAAAGCCAACTGTACAAGGCACAAAGCATTACATGACCCTACAAACAATTATTTTAAACTAATTTTGCATTATACTGTGAGGGCTTTGAGTAGACATCATTGTTCTACCTCTTAGATGTAATAGTGATTTCCTAATACTTCTATGTAATTCAAACATACCTTAGTGCAAGAGCGAGAAGTAGCATTGATAATAAACCAGAAAGTCTCAGTACACAGTCAATCTTTTGTGTTAAAAAAACATCCAGTGCGTTGTTTAACTTGCATCTGGAAGCCAGCAAAGATACTTGCAATTCTCTATTTACAATCATCTCCAGCAAATTTTGTACTTCAGTATATCTGGAAGGCACTAGGTTGACGGAGACATTCTATATGTTGAAGGACAGAGTAATAAGTTTTAATAACCTAAAAAGGAACAATTCAGTAAATATATCAAACATAATCAAGCAATTTTGGGTGTCATTCCACCTAAAAATAATTGCAAAAGACATTAAATTGGTCATTTAGCACTCATATTACCAATAATTAGAATGAAATTACTATGACCAAAATTATTCCTTTAAGAATCTAAAAGTTCAGTATGTTAGTTAAGGATAAATTTTTCCACTTTTAATATCCAAGACCTTTTTGGTGTACAAACAAGATAACAAGTAATGGGTGTAACAGGAAACCAAACTAAAAAAAAGTCTATTTCTTTATACAAGCACTGACATATTCATGGTATTAAAACAAAAAACTAAATAAAAGCAGCAAGCAATGATTCAAAATAAATTTCTTTATTTTCATATAGTGTTTTATATCAATGATCCAGTTAATAGAAAAGCCAGATAGCAAAAAAAACACCCCACCCTTTTTATTTATACACGGCTTCCTTAGAGATGGTTTGAAGTGAGAAAAACATCATGATGGAGAATTTTAAAAAAATGACATAAAGACAAGTTCTTGAACTATACACTAGTGTGCTTTCCTGAAGGGAAAAATATCACAAACTATTAATATTTCCACGATACATAGCAATAGGAGCTATTTAGCATGTCAAACAAACTAGACAGTCAAAAATTTATTTTGGGAAAAAACAGATAATCTAATAAATCCTGCCCATCTGAAAAGTGCATAAGGCAATGTAATACTGGAATGTTTTTGCATCAATGAAAAAAACAGAAAACAACCTTACCACATTTGATATTAACATTACTTTCTAGGAAGAGGACCCAATTATTTCTTCTAGAATTTTCTTGACTGAATGCAACACAATGTTATAAAAATACTATTTAAAGATGACGAAAACATAATCTGTACAGATATTCTATTACAAACCACAACAGTACAGCAAAATCATTTTTCAAGAGTCAATAATCCTGGTTAATAAAAGCTTAATTCATAATACTCTTCTGTAAAAGTCAAAGACATATAATGGTTGCAGCGCACACACCAAAATCAGTAAAGTTGTTCTACAGTTTCTCAAATCTACTCTTTGTTTAGCCTGGTATTATCAAAGGATAAGGCAACCTAGTTTAGTCTACTATGCATTATAAATAAGTGAAAGCATGTTTGCTTGAGGAAGGGTAGCTTTCCCTTTTCCAAAATACACGCACACTTCCCAATTCTGCAACAGAAAAGACTTCCCAATGTGCTATGACTCCCTCTTGATTACTATGGTACTATCACATCTTCAAAGGTGCTATGCTGAAAGAAAAAGAGGGGGGAAAGACAACATCCCTCCAGGCACTGCCATTTAACTTAACATGCGTCTGCAGTTTCAGGTATACTTCAGACCACTCATCTCTTGCTGGTTTGAATTTTCTGTTCTCTTCCATTTACATCTGCTATAAAATTTTCTGTTACTAAAATATTAATGAAATAACACCAGTGTAAAATCATTGGGTTGGATGCAAATAACCTACCTTCTTTAGATGTTTTGAATATGGAAACCAATTTCCCCACCTCTCCCTATCTGCTTGCACACCCCCCACCCCCAGCTCTATTCTTCAAACGTAGATCTGGATCCAACCCAAATCTGTAATGATATTTCTTTTCCCTGTGAAGTACAACAGATGAAAGTTTAGGATATAATCTTATTCTTGTAGTAGCAATAAATGGGAATAACACTTCCCAGAACAAAGAAAGACATTTCCTGTGCATCAGTATCTGATAGAAGCAAACAAGTAGTTCCAGAAAATATGGAAGGATCTGCTTATGTTTTCCTTTTTTTTTCAGTAACAACTCAGTAGTAAGCATTGGTAAATCAGTGTTTGTAAGTTCAGGCTTCATCTTCCATTCTTCTACATCTTTACAATGAAAATACATGGCCGATGCTCTGTTTGGAACTGAAAAAAACACACAGTCTAGAGACTTGGGCCAAAAATAACCCAAGACAGCACATCACTGGGAAATTGGTACTAACAATTAACAATCTGGATTACCAGTAAGGCTAAATAATCACAAGAAAAGCTCTTTAAAATGTTGAGATAAATTGGCACTATGCTCAGTCTGAATTTTCATTATATCACCAGAAGAATTTATTACAACTGAATATAAAATATACTCATAAGAACCAGTAAAGAACCATCACTTTAAGCCAGAGCATGATATTCTATCCCCTTTAGAGTAGTGCCAATTCAATTTGTGGTCTCTGGACTGGTGCTGGTCTGAAAGCCATCAGCTATTGGTCCCTGCAATTTCCAGGAAAGAACAAAGCAATTGCATAGCCAATGGACACAAATACAGTACCAGCTCTCACACCAAATAGCTAAGATTTTAAAGCTTGAGAAGACTCCAAAGACTGCATGAAGTCTCTAACCATTTCAAAACTTCAGAAAAAATTATGGTAAATCACTCGTATATCAATCTAGTTTCATTTCTTTTCAGACAGCCAGTTTTATCCCATTGTTGTTAGTGTGATGAAAACACCAGGCATAGTTGCTTATGGAGAACAGGGTTTGGAAGCCAAGGCGGTATGTATTGACCTCATCAACATCATTCATGTCTCTTAAATCACTGCACAAAGTATAAAAACAATATGGTAGGGGTGAATAGGCCTTTAAGACTACAATTCTATTCTAACTCGTATGAGGTTTACTTTGAGAAAGACCAATACAGGAATGTATTGTAAAAAGGAGAATTTTGTTAAAGTATCTTTATATCCCGTAAAGAAATTTGTTCAAGCTCTGTAAACGGTCAATTAGAATATTACTGATGTACCTTACAAAGACTTAATTTATGCAAAATGCAAGTATTTTTTCACATTACAGTTAACACATGAAGGACATACAGCAGTTACATTGAAAAATTGTTTGTTCTAAAGCAGAAGCTAATACAGGTTGAGAATCTCTTATCCAAAAAACTTGGGAACAAAAGTATTTCACATTCAGATTTTGGAATACATAATGAGATATTTTAAAGATTTGATCCAAGTCTAAACAGGAAATTATTTTTGTTCCATATAGACCTTACAAACATATCCTGAAGGTAATATTATATACAATATATTAACAATTTTATGTATGAAATAAAGTTTGTGTACATTGAACCATCAGAAAGCAAAGGTGTCACTATTTCAAGTGTGGAGGATTTTGGAGGATTTAAATATGACAGATTTTTTTTTTCGTATCAAGAGCGACTTGAGAAATTGCAAGCTGCTTCTGGTGTGAGAGAATTGGCCGTCCGACCTGTCGGTTTTCAGTCCTGCTGGCACAAGGGTTTAACCCACTGTGCCACTGGGGGCTCCATATTCCAGATAAGGGATACTCAACCTATACAAGTGTTTGTCATTGGTAAATTATTAGTAGAAATTGTTTACTCTACCCCTACTGCTTTTGAACACTTGTAGGCATTTAGTAAGAAAGAGGTGATCAATTCATAATGGGGGGAAAATCAGGTACTTCTAAAGGGCTCAGTCCTATGTCTTTATCATGACACAACAATGATCAAATGATTGCTTCCATTAATGTAGGTAAGGCAACCACCAAGTACAGAAAATGAATACCAGGACACATTTGTTCTTACCGGCTTACATTTCTTCAACAATTCTTTAGAATGATGTCAACAGTGCACATAACCAGGTTGCTGTGAAGGCATTTAACAGTGTATTTTGAAAGAATGTCTTTAAACACATACACATACAAAATTTCAGAGATCTCTCAACTGTTTTACAAGATAAAAATAATATAAAGGATAAATAAGAACTTATCATGAAGGGAAACAAATCCCACAGCACTCCATGCAAATTTCTAAACAGTCCGATGATTCACAACAAGCATCCATTATGCCACAGTCCATGTCACAAGGGCAGTTGCAGTCGTCTCCCATTTCTTCTCCGCAGCAGCAGCAGCAAGCTTCGGCCGGGCAGACACCACAAGACGCTTGTTCCAGGACAAGGCTACAAAGGGTGACGAATTCGCAGAACAAGCAGGCCAAGATGCAGTGCACACAGCAATCTTGAGAGAAGGTAGGGGAAGAGAAGCAAATAATAAGTGAAAGTTACATTCTATTATGCCCTTTCCAAAAGGAAATAAAGGCACATTTTTGTCATTTATCTGCAAAATCCCACTTCCCTGCCCACATCACATAGTTCACATTCTTAGTCTTCATTGTAGCCTGAAAAAAAAAAATTCAAAGCCTGGGCATTGAGAGGCAGAACATATTCACAAGTTTTAACCATTTTAGGACATACCAACATAGCATGAAACTACTGACACACCTAATGTAAGTATTGAGGTCCATCAGCCAGCAAAGAAGACACAAATCTCAAGCAAATATATTCTAGCTCATAGAAAAGAAGTGTGAAGTTGGGCTGGATATATATGCCTGGCATTACGTTTATATTACAGTTAGCTCTCCGTACTCACCTATTATCATCCACAAATTCAACCATCTTTGGTTTGAAAATATTCCAAAAAATCCCAAAAAGCAAAGCTTTATTTTATTACCATTTTATATAAGGGATGCTATTTTACTATGTCATTGTATATGACAAAACGTGAGCAATTACAGCTTTTGGTATTCACAGATGGTCCTGGAACCAACTTTAGCAAATGCCAATGGCTATAGTAGCATTTACTTGTTATATTTGTATTGTTTCCTCCAAAGAGTTCAAGCCGGCATACATCGATCTGTTGTTTTATTTTCCTTCTACCTTAGTGATGTAGTTTCAGCTAAGATATAACACTAGACCAAGATCCTCCATGGGTTTCATGGTTGAGTGCTGATATGAACCCAGATCTTCTCAGCAGCAGTTCAAAATTCACACCAATATAATCATTCCTGTTACTCTATTTGGAGTATGAGAGAACAGGCTCACATTCCACAAATGAACTCCTTTTCTCAACCTCCCAATCAATCTTTAAAAAAAAAAATTGAGACACCTGCTCCTACTTCAGAACTGATCTTCATATATTTACAGTCTAGAGAGGTAAAGTTTAATTCTAATATTTTTTTATTTAAAATAAGAACTGGTGTTCTGATGTATCGAGACATCCCAAAAATGCTACAATATTTATTAATTTATCGTATCTCATTGCATCACAGTTGCACCCCCGTTTTCAAGGTGACAAAAACAATAAAATGCATATTCCTAGCATAATAGTCACACCCTTAGTTCACAATGCAAAAAAAAAAAAAAGGGGGGGGGAATATGGTAGTTTTATTTTTAAATATATTGCAAAAAACGGTTTGGGTTTTTTTTCTTTTGCAAATGACATGTTCACTATCAATTGCTCATTCAATCAATCAGACAAATATAGGAAAACTCGTTTAAAAACATGCAAAAACTCCTGCCCAGAAGTCAAAAAGGTATTTGTGAAGATTGACCTCTCTATTATAGTCTCAACCACTTGAAGGTTCATGTTGGCATTGTGCTTCAGTTCACAAAGGCATCAACAGCAGAAAATCAAGAAGTATGCCCTTCATGGTCATAAATTGATTTTATCTCAGCCCAATGAACATTTTAATTTTTCCCCAGATTGAACAGCTGACTATACTACCATATCACAACCTATATTACAAAATTCCCATCCATTCAAGAACAGTTGTTAATGTGATAAAGGAGAGTTGCTATTTGTTAAAAAGAACCCAAAGCCCTCTTAGCTCATGGAACCAGTTTCTTATTTCTTTATACAGAGAGACTACATATTATTTATTACAAATAAAATGTAATACGGCAAAGACTGCAGATTCCAGTCCTGTACAGTGGACAATATTTCTCTGGTTTTGGGGTACCCAAATTATACTCTTTAAAAAAACAAGCCTATTTTAAAGATAATAAATATTTGCAATTTTGTACATAGCAGGATATAAATATGAACAACAGAAGGAGAGGTATTTTAATTAATTAAACCATAATGATCTACATGTCTACTTAGAAGACAAATGCATCAAGTTCAATGGGACTTAATCCCAAATAAACAAATAGTATGAGCCCCTTATCCATGGATTCAATATCCATGATTTTGAAGGGACATGCACTCTGGATGTTCCCAGAAGTCCCCTTCTGGCTCAGAAGGATACACCCACGAGTTTAATATCTCTGAATAATAGCATTATTTGCCAGCCAAAGCAAATGATGGCAGTTGTGCTCTAGGCATGAAAAGACTGCCATGCCCCGAAAATGGGGTCGTGATCTTTTATTGTTTTACAGAAATCCAAAAAGCGCATTTTGATTGGTGTTAATACATTGTCCATTCAATTGGTCTATGCTTACCTAATACACTTCTGATTGGTTCTCTATTACTAATCAAGTGAACATATGGAAAACAGAACTGGAATTCAATGGAAAGTTCTTATCTTGTTCAAGTGACCCTGACTCGCTGGGAAGCGCTTGGCAGGCACTGGCTTACCTTTTTGGTTACAAATTACAGCAAGAATTCTGTGTGAAAGAATAGGAAGGATTTGCATGAAGGCAACTCCGTAAACTGCTGTGGCAACTCCTTCTCCAAGCTGTAATTTTGTCTGTTTACCTTCTTCAGATGGGACCTATAGTCTTATATAGCAATTTAAAATTTTTATAAAACTACGTTTCCTTCAATTTCATTTACGTACACTCTAAAAAATACTCACCAAAGGTATTGGTGGGTCTCTCTAGGTCCTTCAGTCTGACTTTATGGTATGCTTCTGGCCCAACTATAGCTATTATATGCAGGATCATGTATCCACAGGGGAGTGTTATCTTCCATGGACATGGGATCATATTGTACTTGGTTCTAAACCTATTTCTATCATGGTCTGGAAAATTCACAAAGTGGCTGCATATCTAAGTTGTCTGTGCTGGCTGGAGATGATGAAGGCTATCAGAACATACTGGGTAGAGACCAGGTTGGGAATGCTTGCTCTAAAAAAAAAAAGATAGAAGAGGTGTAACTTATGGTCTTTCTACTGTCATTCCTGGGACCAAATGAAAAGGAGTAAGAGAATATGAATATTCCTCCATCCCATGTCCAGGCCATTCTCTTTCTTCTCTTTCCCCGCATAAAGAAATCAGCAAAAGGAGAACCACATATTACTCATACTTCCTCTATTCCCACTAACTGAAAGTAAACATCTGTTATGTTTCAAAATTCAAACACTACCACCCTGTGACAAGACAAGAACATACAGCTTCAAGAAGTTCTAAAATCTGTTCCATACATCTCAGAATATTTGCAGTGGATCTTTGCAGAGCACTTTTCTATACGAGCTATTCCTTAACTCTCACCGACCTCACCATCATTCAATAGCATGATACAGAACGCCCCCAACATCCAGTGTAGTTTCAGGAGAGCTCTGTTTTGTCTTTCTTTTCAAGAAAACAGCATACAGATTTTTCTTCCAGAAAGCAGACTTTAAGAGTGTCTCTTGTACTACACACTTACAGTAATCTGACTTTAACTATCAGCTCCAGCCTATGAATTTTTCTAGTCCTATGAAATGCAATACTAAAGAACTCATTAAACTGCAAGTCGCAGGATCCCATAGATTGAGCCACGTCAGTTAAAAGTGCCCATGGCATTATTGTGTGCGTACTTTAGATTATGGACCACATTTTAGTTCGTTTATCATTTTGTATGCAAATATATGATGCATTTAAATGTAACATTTGGTGTTTTTGAAAAGCTGGGACAGATCTTTAAAAATCATAATTTTTAAGATGGGGATGAGAAAATATTTTATTTGATGTATTATTACAAATGTGATCACAATCTATACATATAGACATTTTGCCTTAAATAATTTTACTCACATTTGTTATCCAGTATCTACAAATGATGGACAGAAATGCACAAACACTTCAAGCTGAATGTGGCATCATGGGTAACAAAACGGGAAAGAAAAACACAGCAAGCGAAATGGTAAAAAAGATAAGAGTGCTTGTGTGTATTAAATGGGGTTCTTTATATGAAGAATAAATGTACCTATAAGTGACCTTCATCCAAAGCTCAGCAGATATGACATGTGAAGTGAAGCTAGGGAGTACAAGTTCAGTGAAGAGGACCAAAGCTAGATTGATGGGTATTAATTAGCTTGTTGTCATGGAGATTGTACTTGAATAAATCTAACACAATTTCCTCTGATTTTTTTTTCCTAACGCAGAGGGGGTTCAGAGAGGATCAAATAGTTATATCGGCCTTGACACTGTACGAATCCAAATGTTTAAAACATGTTTCCATCACAAGGATTGGATGCAAATCTTTTGCAGGAAAATTATTTAGTTTGTATACCTCTTGGCTTTTGACAAATTCACAGACAAAACTGCCAATAAATAAATAAATACTACATCAAAATGAATTAATCCAAAAGTGCTTTTAAAAGATGTAACATACGTGTGGTTAAGAAATATTCCGAATGCTTGGGAGGAAAGCGCTGAATGTCATTATTGTGAGGAAATGCCAGTAGCCAAAATAAGAGTGACTAGCTCAGTGTCTTAGCCTTCCAAAATGAAACTCAATTAGAAAAAAACAGAGACAAAAATACCCATCCAAGGATCAGAACTACTTTTTCAAAAGTTCATTTCAGTTAGTTCTGAAAAGTGATGCTTTATTCTATTTGTGTCGACAGAGAGAAGCACTGGTCTAAAGATACTTTATTCTTAGCTAATTAGCAATAGCTAAATTTTTCTATGCAGGTCCATTTATACAGAGAAACAGGGCACTATAATGACTCTGATTGTGCAGACCATTAATGGATGCTAATGTAGATTGTTTTTGAAACTCTCCTTTTTATACACATTCAGTTCACTCAGGTTAGGTAGCTCTGAGAGCTATACTTTGATATTCTATGTAACCTTTCATGAATTTTTTTTCTAACCTATATTTTTTCTGCATAATTTATATATTGCAATACTGCACTCTCTCTGGACAGTGAACGTGCTACTGATGGGACCAAAGTACAGAATGCTGTTCAACTTCTTCTCAAAAGCAACCCACTACATCACATGGCACAAACACATTTGAAATTAAAAGTTTGA